GAATCTCGCTCTAACCTGAAGCCTCTCCTCATCAACTCTGTGTCTATCACCCCTACCCTCTGCCTCTGCCTGTCCAAAACTTCAGTATTCTCTCTCACCACCTCCGCATAAAGCTTCGCATCATCGTCATCCTCAGTCAAACCCTCAATCTCGACCCCCAAATGAGCGTTGGTAGCCTCCAACTTCGCCACCGAGTTGGTGAGCTGTGTCCTCACCGAAACAAGTGCATCGTCCGGTAACTCTTGCACAGACACCTGGAACTCATCTAATGTAATAGGCTGGGAATCGGCTGACATGAAGTTGATGAGATGCTTTTCGCGAAAATGCCAAACCACAAAAGATCAATGTTGCGAGTTCTTCTGAGACCACAGGTGTTTCGTGGCTCCCTCATGGCGATACGAGCATACGCCGATACCGGGGAGATAACAGTACCCCTAATACATCCACTCCTTCTCAAGCGAGCCCAAACCATGCAGCAGGAGTTCTCCCAACTTGAATCCAAAATCGCTGGCGGCAGCTACGACGCAGAAACCAACCGCAAATTCTCCACCGTCTCTGGAATTCTCGAGCACCTCGACCGCTACAACAAGGACATTGCTACCATAGAAGGCCTCCAAGAGATCCAAGATCCCGAATTGATGGACGACGTGCAACAGGAATTGGAATCCATTCTTCCCAACCTCATGCGCTCCACCACTATTTTACAAAATAAGCTCTTACCGCCCATTAAACACGCAGACCTACCGTGCATTCTCGAGTTACGTCCTGGGGTGGGTGGATCAGAGGCGGCGCTTTTTACCGCCGATTTGGCCAATATGTACCTCAATTTTGCCAATCAGATGCGGTGGAAACACCAGGTGCTTCTGAAACACGAGAGCAGCAGCGGCTTTGTCAATGAATTTATTCTCAGCGTGGACGAACCTGGTGCCTACAACCGGTTACGGCACGAGAGCGGAATCCATCGAGTGCAGCGGATTCCTGCCACGGAGTCCAAAGGTCGGATTCACACGTCGACAGCCGCGGTGGTGGTACTTCCCAAATTTAGCGATGGGGACGAGAAATCTCTTGCGGCAGACGAGCGCCTGTTTAAGCCGGGCGAGGTACGGGTCGATACGATGCGGGCGGGTGGCAAGGGTGGCCAGCACGTCAATACTACCGACTCGGCGGTGCGGTTGGTGCATCTTCCTACGGGGATCATGGTGATGCAGCAGGACGAACGATCACAGCCGCGGAACAAAGCCAAGGCATTTCTGATCTTGAGAGCCCGGCTTGCAGCGTTAGAGCGAGATAAGGAGGTTGCAGAGCAGAAGAAGCTTCGGACGGATCAGGTGTCGTCTACCGATCGGTCCGACAAAATCAGAACTTATAATGTACCTCAGAACCGGGTGACGGACCATCGGTGTAACTATTCAGTACATGATGTGGATGGCTGTATGCAAGGGTACAGACTTGGAGAGATTATTGATAAGGTGGAGGAGGGAGAATTCGAGGACCGGTTGCAGGAGCTTATCGGGCACGTGGGTGGTGGTATTTGAAATGATTTGGCTACTTGATCAACGGCTACTCGATCATGGAGCTGAACGATAGTAATGGAGTTCATCTCTTCGACACTTTGACATCGCTTTTAGAGGTCATATTCCACTCACTGATCCAATTTCTCAGTGGGTGTATGGGTCAGAACTTGAAAATTTCTGACCGAAAATTTCTGACCCATACACCTGGCCTCATGTGCCTGTGCCTTTGTCCCTGCGTATTTCATTGTAAAGTCACAAATACAGGTGACACCTGTATATCTTTGTAAATATCTAGTCACAATACAGGTGATACCAGTATTCCAATTAAGGACCTTGTAGGACTATATCATTTGTATATTTGTCTCTGCTTGCTTCACACGCACCCAGACCTCATTGCACTGCAAGCTGCTGCCAAGTCATTGCGAATATAAACTAGGCACCCGCGAAAAAGACACCAGTCAATTTCATTTGTACAACCTTTCATCTCCCACCTATTGTTCGCCAATTCTCCTACGGTATATGAGCCTCCCACCCTCGCTTTAACATCATGACCCCCAGCTTCCTCCTATTAATACTCCTAGCGTTATTCCACTATGTACATAGCATAGGGATGGTGATCGAACCGTGCTTGGAAGGAGACCCTGCCCAGCAGTCAAGCCTCATCAACCTAAGAAACTGTCTCGCCTACCACACAAACAACAACGACCTCATCATGGTCAAGATCGTTAGCGGACCCCAAATCCAATCTCAGACCCTCAACCTCAAGATCTTTGATTCCGAAAACAACTTGTTACGGGTTTCAAACAACTTGGTGGGCGAAATCACCATCATCATGAAAAACCTCAATAACGACCCCATATACGACGAGGGAAACCTGAAGCGGTCACGGGCCAATATCATTGACAGACTCGCATTCCTTAAGAGTGACGAGCACAAGGCTCAGCAGCTCTTGAACAATAACAAGGGCAAGAATCTCATCTACGTGTGTTTTGACAACTTGTATAGCGACAAGTCCTGGTCTTTCCACCCGGAGAACCGTGAAATTGAGTTGACTGTCGACTTGCGGGATGTGTCGAAGATGCAAGGGACCGATTATAACCTTTATTCAAAGTATTTCCACAAGTTTCAATCGACAGAGAATCTGGATCACCGAATGAAGGATATGAGCCAGGTGGAGTTTGACGATGAAATTGCCGTCATTGAGAACGAGTTGAACGACGTGGTCGAAAACTTGAAGAACTCAGCCATCATCTTGAAAAATATTCAGCTCCAGGAATCTAGGTTGCGAGACATCAACGAACAGATCTTTGCTGGATACACCTTCATGACGGTATTAGTATTGGTAGCAATCGTGGGGTTTGGAATATTTCAGACCGTTTACGTCCACCGATATCTCACAAAGAAAGTCATCTATTAAATATATAAGTTTCTTATATCCCTATAGGTTTCCTCTCATCTTCTCGTTCGTTATGACGTCGTCGCAGATTTGCTCCATTGCGTCCTTGTCCACCAACTTGCCCACATTGGCGTATTGAAGACTGGCCTGATATCCCATGGTGATTCTCTGGTCAGTAATACCCAACTCACCGTAGCTTAAGGCCCGAATCACGTTGTAGTACCGAGTGATGGTGTCTCTGACGGTGGTGGGAATGAACTCATTTTTGTCGCTGTAGATCTCCCAAGAACTTTCTTCCTCCAACCGAGTGATCAGTACTGACCCTACACCCGGATTATACGATCCCTGGCCATCGATGGCCGACTGGACCCGGTTGCCGGCGATGTTGCTTTCATTGTTGGTGAAATTGGAGGTGCTGGTCTTACTCAACCAAATGAACCCGTTGATCCCCAAGATCACGCTTACGTCGCCCGAGAGCTTGTGCGTGTGGTTCTTTGATTTGACCACCAATCTGGACGGTACTGTCAAAAATATCCCGTTTCTGAGTTTCCCATACTTCAAGGACCGGGTGTGAAGCGATGCACTGCCATTACTGAAAACACTTTGCACTTCAGCATTCAACAAATCACCCTCTTTCAAGAAGTTTCGCATCTGGAGCTCATCACTCTCAGACTTTCTTCTCAACACTCCGCCCGGCAAATTCACTGATCCTAGCATCAAGATCGCATCTTGTTTTGCACCTATGTCCACTTTCCATCGTTTGTTTCCAACCTCCGTGATTCTTCCAACCACATGGTCCCCCGTCTCCGGTTGATACTTTCCCCGTAACGGTATCACACTCAACAACCGGTTGACTCTCAGTACGTTTCCTGCAACCGATGAGTATATGTTATCGTTTAAAAAGTACGTTCCATGGCCCTTCATCCAAACCGGATCGTCAGTGACAAGTTCTCCTGGGGTGACAATCGAAGTCTGCTCGGCACCGTTGGTTTCCGTGTCCGACATTTCCACGTCCGAATCGATGACGTTGGTCCTAGCAATACTGGGTTTGCTTATACTTATAACGTCAGATACATCCATGGTAGAGTAAAAGATGCTCATCGATTACTTCGCGCTTTTGGGTAGAAAAAAATTAACCGATGCTTAGATGGTTTAGACCTGTTCAACTATCCAAGTTTATTCCCCCATTTCGAGCATTTCATAGACAAAGCAAAACAGAGAGAAGAGATTTTATGATGACACAGTTCGGACCTCCAGTGAACCGCTCCATGACCGAGTTGGACCGGTCTTTTTTCCAGAAACTGGCTACCTTGCTTGTAGCCTGTTTCCCAGACCCCAGCAAATTGGGACAGTTTGTAAAGGAGTGCAAAAAGGACATTTTGTACTTGCCTTCGGTCAAGCACATTGTGGCCGTTGGAAGCATGAAGGGCGTACTTTTGAGAGAAGATATAAATGATCTTGAAACATATAAAAACAAACTTTCTGAAAAGACCACTGAAAAAATCAAGGAATTCGGCATTTTGGTTAAACCCTATGAATTTCACATGGACTATAACTTTTGGAGAGCAGACGACATTTTACGGGCAGTTTTACCCGAAAATTTGTTGGATGAGCTTCCCACTGGTTTTGCTCAGGCTGGGCATGTTGCTCACATAAACTTGCGGGAAGAGTTCAAGCCGTACGGCAAATTGATAGGCCAGGTGATCTTGGATAAGAACAGTAAGGTTGAAACTGTTGTTGACAAGGTCGATACCATCGACACCCAATTTAGAACTTTCAAGATGAAAGTTTTGGCGGGTAGACACGATTTGGTGGTGGAGCAGAGTGAAAGTGGGTGTAAGTTCACCTTTGACTTCAGCAAAGTGTACTGGAATTCAAGGTTAAGTACCGAGCATGATAGACTTATATCCCAATTCGCACCTTGTTCGGTCGTTGGAGATGTTTTTGCAGGCGTGGGGCCATTCGTAGTACCAGCCGGAAAGAAAAATGTGTTTGTGTTGGCCAACGACTTAAACCCAGAATCGTTCAAGTACCTCGAGTACAATATCAAGGCGAACCGCACACAAGACTTTGTACAAAGCTTCAATTTGGACGGTAGACAGTTCATTAGAGAGTCTCCTCAATTATTGTTGAAATGGGCCAACGAAGTCAAATCTGTGAGCCAAAAGAAACTCATTAAAAAGAGGAAGATTTCGCAAGATAAGCCCGCTGAGTACAAGGTCACAACGTTCGATATCCCAAAGTACATCAGCAACTACGTCATGAATCTTCCTGACAGTGCGTTGACATTCTTGGATGAGTTTGTTAGCTTGTACTCGAGAGATCCCGAAGTTGAAAAGATCGTCAAAGAAATCCCCGACTTTAAGCTTCCGATTGTCAATGTCCATTGTTTTGAAAAATTCTCTGCTACAGAACCTGAACCTCCAATGGAAGAATTGCATAGAAGAGTTCACGCTAAAATCGTGAAACTTATTGACCATGCACTACCCTTTGAAGAGTGTGAATTCCACTTGGTAAGAAAGGTGGCACCCACAAAGCCCATGTTCTGTGTGACTTTTACTTTACCCAAAGACGTGGTTTTCAGAAAAGTAGAGTAATTTAGAATTAGTGTATTATAGCCTGTAAATATACCAAGACTCAGTATTTTTAGGTTGGCTGCAAAATAGTTTTATATTTTTCGCAATTCTTACAAAAACTATTAATCTCCTTGCACAAATTCAATGCTGACATTAATACCAATTGAAGATGTTAACTACAAAGACTTGACTTACACATACATGGGCGTGTTCTACTCCCCCAAGTTTCAGCAATTCCTCAACACCACCCAAACTGGTCTTGCCCATTCGTCTTCGGGAGCTGAGTTATCGCTTCTAACGAGAAGTTTGTGCACTTCACTTTCACTATGCATTATTCAATTGGCCATGTTCTGTTTCTTTCGAAACATCTTCAAGTCACTTTATCAACCACGAAGCTACTTTGTTCCACAAGATGAAAGAGTTGAGCCTGCTGAACTGGGATTTTTGAACTGGGTCATACCAACTTTGTCTACAAACATAGACTATTATCTTTGTTTAGGACTTGATACCTACTTCTTTGTGAGATATATAAGCATGATGCTCTTATTCTTTTTAGTTGTGGGGGCTTTGAATATCGTGGTTTTGGTGCCTATTAATACATCCGGTAGCAGTCTGGAATTTAAAGCATCTGGACTTGACCGGTTGAGTTTGTCTAATATTTCATCCTCCAAAGTCCATCTTTTAAACGGTCATTTTATCATGAGCCTAATGACTATTGGATTTTTTCATTTGATGATTGTGTACGAGATGGAAAGCGTGATTAAAATTCGGAAGAGTTACCTTTCTTCAAAGAGACACAGATCCTCAGTTGTCTCCAAGATTTTGTTGATAACCCACATACCCACAGAATTACTTGATATAGAGAGGTTGAAGTCAGAACTTTCCATAATCCCTGGAGGAGTGAAGAATATATGGTTCTTAAGTGACTACAAGAAAATTAATGTTAGTGTCAGAGAAGCAAAGGAAGCGGTGTATGAATTGGAGGTGGGGGAAATAAAATTCATAAAGAAATACCATAAAAAAGTGGGCAACAACCGGTACAAACATTATACAGTAATGAGACAATTGAAACCCAAATTTTATCCTCCGATAAGTATAAACACTAAGCTTCCTTTTGGCAATATCAGCCTAAACATCAATATTCCTGGACTTCTCAGGTTTTTCATATTCCAAAAGAAAGTTGATCAAATAGATTGGAGTGTTGAAAGAATCAAGAAAGCAAAGAAAGCCATAGAGAAAGAAAAGGTTCTTCTTGCCTCAGAACAGCTCAAGAAGTTTAACACAGTGTTTGTACAGTTCAATACCCAGTCTGGAGCTTACACTGCCCATCAGGTGTTGTTGTCACAATCACAAGGATGTATGGACAAAACAGTGATTGAGGTTCACCCTAGGGATGTACAATGGAATAACTTAACGAAGGAGAATCTGGCAACATTATTGGTCCAACGGTATTTGGTTACATTGCTTTGTATCTGCCTAATCATGTTGTACATTATTCCTGTCTCATTCATTGGTCTAATTTCCCAAGTACCTTTATTGACCAAGCTTTTACCCTTTTTAGGCTGGGTGTATTCGTTACCAGAAGAGGTCAGAAACTGTTTTTCCAGTATTTTACCCAGTCTTTTCTTGTCTATTCTTACTTCGGTGATGATGATAACGTTCAGATTCTTGACCTATTACAAGGGAAAGCTCACTGGGGCAGAAATCGAAATTGACCTACAAAGATGGTATTTCAGCTTTCTTTTCATCCAGCAGTTTTTGGTGGTTACTATTCTGTCCAGTATTACTGTAATCTTCAAACAAATTGTTGACCAACCCACTTCCATTCCCGTGATGTTAGCAACAAATTTACCCAAGGCAGCTACTTTTTTCTACAAGTTTATAGCTGTGAGGGCACTAAGTTTTTGTGGGAACAACTTCTTGAGAATTGACCAGTTGATATTGAGAAACACCTTTTACAAGTTATGGGACAAGACACCCAGGCAAAAGTTGGTGAGAGAGACAACACTCTTACCAATAAAGTGGGGTACCACATACCCCATTTATTCTGTTTATGCAGCCATTGGGTTGACATACACCATTATTTCACCGTTGATTTCCGTTTTCGTGGTGCTAATTTTATTTCTTGTATTGACATACTACAAATACTCGTTAAGATATATTTACAGCCACATAAATGAGTCAGAAACATACGGAAGACTCTACCCTTCGGCATTGTTACACCTTTATGCGGGAATCTACTGCTTGGAATGTTGTATGATAGGAGTGTTTTTCTTGCTGAAAGACGCATCAGGAAACTTTCCTATGAACTCACACGGATGGATTATGTCACTCATTCTACTAATGACAGTATTTGGAAACACCACACTATATAACAGGTATCACCGATACTTCTCATATCTACCTATCATCAATGACCGAGAATACCCAGATGACCCACTTGGCACAGACCTCAGTTCCAATTATCAGATGCTTTACTTGCACCCAAATTTCAAGTACGAAATTCCCAGGGTTTGGCTTCCTTCAGACGACTTGGAAGTCGCCCATACCGAAGCCAGGCACTTGGAAGACAATGAAGGAATAGAGTCAATAGTAATTCCTGGATCAACAATTAAGTTTGGCTGGCGAAATCGGTTCCTGGAGATAGTTGTGAGACAAGGGCCTCCAGACTTCAAGTGACCTAATCTAGATACTCATAGGTCCTGTTGAGTCTCGACCTAATCCTCATTCTAGTTATGAAGTCACTCCAGTTCCTCAAAGAAGCAAATCCCCGCTCTTTGCGTTCGTTTCTGTGTTGGTTGATCTTGAAGTTGAGCCAGAACTTTTTAGCTTTCTTGACATTATTGTCCAACACTATCACACCATTTTTTGTGGGAATGGCGTACCCGGTCTTTGTGAAGGAAAACCCAGTAACAACTGGAACAAACTGGATATCAGTGTTCTTCTTGTCGTTCAAAATACTCTCAATATTTGATAATTTGAGCCAGGTGCACCCGTCGGGAACCATAGTTTCCTTGAACACTTCTATATTTCCAAATTTGTTTTTGGGAAGGATAATCTGGTCTTTCAAAAATTGAACCTTGGGTTTGATATACAGACAAGTCTGAGAAAATGAATATAACTTTACTGCATTCAACTCTGGTTGGTTGTTGAGAACATTTAAGTTGTAAACCCTCTTTCTTGAAATTGTTCTAGGCAATAAGGCTCGAGTAGTCTTGATGTAGTCGTCTACTTTGTCGGGTAGAATTGATCTTCCCAAGAACTTCCATTGCTGCTCCGACTTGCCAACAGTCACAGAGTTTCTAAGAAATACAGGGACTCTTTTACCATCTATTTTAACCCTGATAATCGGTTTGGTGTCCTTGTCTATCACCTCGTCATACCTCAAAGAAGCATGAGTAACGAAGTTAGCACTTCTCTTGATCGCCGCTCTAGTTTGCGGAATATCATAATTATGCAACCCCAAATACTCTAACGATTTCAACTCCAGATTGTCGGAAAGGGGAGTATTGTTGTTGAGAACCCGAATGATCGACAGAAATAACAAGTAAGACCGGCCTGCCTCTGTTCTCAAATCGAGTCGTTTAAACCACCTGTAACTGATATTCTTCATGTACCGAGCACTGACATCGAGAATATGATTGCTAGCTCCAAGGGATATCACATAAGTCATAGTCATTGCGTTGAACTGATCTTTGACGGGAAAGAATATGGGAACGTATGACCTCAAGTCTTTGCTATATCGTGATACTCTAGTAAGTCTTTTTTCCTCATCGTGAAAGGTGCATGTCTCTAGTACGAAAAGTTCTGATTTGTTGAAGGGGTTAACTAACTCTGTCCAGAAATATGGATATAGCAAGTCATAATCTTTGTTAGTATCAAGTTTCATTCTGTTCAATTTTGGCTGCAAAGTTTTGTCTTTTGCGGAAAGAACTGGGATGGAAAATACCAACCTAGCTTCGAATCCTAAACACCTTAAAAGGCCCGTAAAAATTTGAGCTGCCATGTCTCTATTATGTTTGAACAGCCGAATAATGGAGAGAAACTGTTTTTCATTCTTGAAGGTTGGGGAATTATGGATAGTGTAGTTCCCTATCGGTTTATTTGGAGGAATATACCCTAGGACTCGTAGACCATTGCATGTAATCTTGAAATTCAACCTGAACCATTTGATGAGATACTTAAGTATATAAACAAGTTGAACATCAGAATCATCTGGGCCATTGTCATTGTGTCTTCTAAGTCTTTTAACTCGTGATATTATGGAATGGGGAAGTAGTTTCTTTAATGTTTTGTGAACCAGCTTCAGATTGAGTAACCTATTTCGATGATGAGCATGCAATATGTAGGATACTAATGCAAGGTTATGAACAGAAAGTTTGCGCTTCTTCTCTGCTAAAATTTGTTTGAGTTTATCATTTTTGACCTTGATATCAGGATTTTCATTAGATATAGATATATTGAAGGAATCAGGTTGAGGGATTTGTTCTGCTTCACCTAGTGAGACATCTTCCCAGTCTATCGATTCAGCATCTGAATAGAATTCCACATCACCAAACTCTTCATAGACAGCTTCTTCAAGCTTCTGCCGTTTATTAGGTGTATCCGTATCTGATTCATCTGGGTCTATAAAGAGACTCATGAGGTGATTGAGATTTTCGCGCGACTGGGTGTATGGGTCAGAATTTAGATAAGAATTTAGATCAGAACTTCGGTCCACCAGAGGGGGCGCCATTTATACCTCAGGAGAGGACAATCCATAGACTATGAGGCATACACTCATCCTATCTGAAAACATAAATTCTCTTCAAATCTGCAAAATGTCCCCCAAGATTGCAGCCCTCACGCCCAAATCTCACCATGTAAATCTTAGTCAAAATGCAAATAGGTATTCTTCCATTATACCACCATCTTTATAGAAGGATATGATTTCTCCCACCAGAAAGTGGCTAATCCCTTTGAATGCGACAAGTAATTCTTCTACTTACCTCCCGCGTACTTTCTCATGTTCATGATCAATGACCAACCACGGGTATATCGAAATCAGTTGCGGTTCCTCTAACCTTCGCCATTCCTAATTCACTTGCATAAATTTAATTCTTATATGCCGTATGACAATTACATCTGACACTGTTGATCCCCAAACTATATAAAAATGACATTTCCTGCCCAACAGAGAATCAACAATATCAACATGTCGAACAAACATCTGAAAGTACTGAAGGAATCATAAAGATTTACTGTGAGGTTATAGATTCAGTATATCAACTATTATATAAGTGTCTTTTATGAAAAAGCCTCCTTTCCCATTCTATCCTTTATGAAGAAGTGTTGGAAGTGAGATTTTAGCAGAGAATTGATCGAGAATCTTGAGTCAGTCGCATTTCCGTGTCTGTAAAATCTATTTGCAACCACAATCAGCGGATTCCGAATATTGAAGGGATGACTGACAATTTACCACTAGAAACAACACAAACACCAGTGGCTCGGTATCGTTTAGTCCGTATTAGCATAAGTAATGTAGTACTTCATACTCAAATACACAAATAAAAGCTGCTTTCGTTCCATACTCAATCATGGGTTGATCACCGCCACAAAGAGCGCAACCACCACATAACTTTTAATAATTCATTTTGCCATCAATTAGAGTGAAGACAGCATTCCGGGAAAGCCGTCTTTCCAATCACAACGTCCCCATGGGCTTGGCCACCGTAATGTACTTTGCAGCCGTTGTGCCCCAATTCTGTAAGATAAATCATAGTCACAGTAAATAGGAACTCTTCCATAACACACCACCCCCACCCAGCTCTAAGCATGGCACCCATCTATTCATGTATCACGCCACTCAACTTCTCCCATTCCTCCATCAACATGTACTTGTCTGTCAGCTTAATCACGCGATCATGTCCATACACTGTCAACTCATCAAACCTGCCAATGGCCGTATAGTTGTTCACGATTTTAAAGTCCTCCGGGGCCTCTGGATAATCTCCACGTGCAAGAACCTCTGATTTGTTGAGGATGTACCCGGAGTAGGTTTCGATGTCGATGGGTTTTCCCATGAATTTGCATCCCCTGAAGTAGCAGATATGAGTGTTGGTGGACGAGTCGACCTCTTTCGACGGGGTGAAGTAGTCCTGGGTTTTAGCGGGGCCCGTGTAGTGTATTTTACATGGCACAACGTGAGCCTTGTACTTGGGGACGTCTGGGGTGATGTTTATTGAGTCCATGAAGGAAACGCGAGTAGTGAAAAAAGGGAAAATAGCGGTAGACGTGAAAGTGGTGAGAAAATGAGAAGGTGTAAAAAGACTGAAAAATCCAAAGAATTGGTAATATACCTATAGCCAGGACCACCTGGGCCACAAGTAACCAGCTGGTCCCCTCCTAACCAGTTTCCACTTATCTCACACCGGTTTCCACTTGTGTTTTCCGTCTTCCTCTCTCCGTACCAGGCTGCTTCCCAATTAGGCAGGCGCAGCGGAAATGAGCCGGTTCTGCAATCAGCTCCAATTCGGATCCCGATCAGCCAGACACCACCTATAAGTACAAACACATTTCCCTCCCCATAGCCGCCACTAAACACAATCCCCCAATGGCTTCAGGTAATCCCCTTCAGACCATCGACATCTCCTCCATCGACACCTACACCGGTGATCAGATGTTTAAAGCCGCATCATCGCAGGGATTCCTCTTTATAGAAGGACATGGTTTCTCCCAACAGGAAGTTGCTGACCTCTTTGATCTCAGCAAACAGTTCTTTGAGTTGCCTTCCGCGTACAAACAGCGGTTCATGATTGACGAGACCAACCACGGATACACCGACTATGGAGGTGAAAATTTGGATCCCAGCACCCAGAAGAAGGGAGACCCCAAGGAAGCATTAAACTTTGCTCAGTTGAACCTTGTCACTGCAGATGCCATCAAGGATTATCCTGAATGGTTCAAGGAAGACCCCCAGCGTGAGCACATTATCCGTAACACGATTCTTAAGATGAACGAGTTGAATTTGCGCATCTTGAAGTTGTTGGCCATAGGCTTGAAATTCGAAGACACGGCGGAGTGTAAGGGAGCCGACTGGTTCGATTCCAGGTATCGCAAGGACAAGCCTAGCGGGTCGACCTTCCGGTTGTTGCACTATCCGTGCCCTGCCAAAGTTGATCCCGAGTCGGTGATCAGGGCCGGAGCCCACACCGATTATGGGTCCATCACTCTTTTGTTTCAGCAGGCTCAACAAGAAGGATTAGAGATTTATTCACCGGTTTCAAAGTCGTGGGAGGCAGTGCCATTTGTTGAGAATAATGAGGCCAAGTTCCCGGGGCAAGCACCTCCAATTATCGTTAATATGGCTGACCAGTTGAGTTACTGGACTGCGGGCTTGTTGAAGTCGACCATCCACAGAGTTAAGTTTCCGCTTGAGGCTCAGAGGGCTGGAAGAGACCGGTACTCGGTGGTTTTTTTCAGCCATCCAAACGATGATACGTTGTTGGAGCCTATTCCCAGTGAGATGACAAGGAACATAAAGAACCGGGGTGCCAACAAAAACAAGTTAATTACCTCAAGAGAGCACTTGTCGCAGAGATTGAATGCCACCTACGGGTGGAAGAACTAAGACTCATCTATGTGTTTATGTCTATTTATTTAAAGTACATTATTACTAGTTTGACTGCAAATGACCGTTTTAGGCAGGCACACGCGACGCTTATCGAGTCGCAAACCTCATTCTCTGGAATTTCCCTTCTCTACAGTTGCATATCAAGGGACATATTTTCTGGTCTCAGGATGTCGTCTCACTTGTCGAGTCCCATGCCGCGGGTCAGATCCCCCGTGGCCAGTCCCGCCAGCTGGAACCCACTCAATGATCAATCTACTCTCGAGTCTCGCATGACTCACGATGTCTCCGAGATTGTAGACATTATCCATGATTCAGAAGCAAAAAAGTTCAGACTCGGCGTGTTGCTTATCTTGGTGGCGGTTGTCTCGTGGGTAATTGGCTTGGAGTTGGTGAATGCGGTGTTGAAGGATGGCTCGTACCAAAAACCACTCTTGTTCACATATATCAGTGGAGGGTGTTTTGCCTTGAACTTGGTACCTGACATTATACGGGTTTTCAACAGAACCCCGGTACCTGAGCCGGTAGAAAAAGACGAGGACGACCCTGTGCCATTGACGAGAGTCGAGTTTGTGGTCCTTAGTGTTCAGGTGGCAGTTATCTACTTTTTGTACAATGCATGCGTGTTGTCGTGCTTAAAGTACACCTCTGCTTCAAACCAAACGGTATTAGCATCAACTACGTCCATTTTCACGTTGTTAATAGGATGCTTCTTGCGAATCGATTCGTTTTCCGTGAGCAAAGTCGTTTGCACGGCTGTAAGTTTTCTTGGTGTGCTTTTGGTGAACTTCAGTGAATCGAAGGGAGAAGCTTCTGATGGTGATAATAAGTTTGTTCCCAAGAACCCCAAGCTCGGCAACACTTTGGCCATTGCTGGGGCATTGATGTACGCGTTTTACTTGATCATCATGAAGGTAAAGGTGGGAACTGGCAACAGATGCACAAATGAGAGACAATTGTTTGGATTGGTGGGGGTTGCTACCTTGGTTCTCGGTGCTCCTGTTTTGTATGTCGCTGATATCTATGGCTACGAAACGTTCGAATTTCCGCCTCCAAATGCCATCACCTTGCTTCTGATTTTCATAAATGGAGTGTTTTCGTATATTAGTGATTTCTCTACCATTTTGGCCCTGTTGCTCACGAGTCCTTTAATCACCTCGTTATCATTAACCAGCTGTGTACCTGTCACCATTTTCATCGACTACATGGTTTTGTACTTTACTGGTGGCTCGGGCTCCACCACGTCTACTTCTAGACAGGTTATGTACGTCACGGGAATTCTCAGTATCTTGACGTCGGTGGTATTGATTAACCTCACCACCACCACCGAAAATGAGTTTATTGAGAACGTCATCGGGGAGTCGTTGGAGGAGGGAATTAAGAATGATGAGATCTTGTCGCCCATGTTATCTCCATTATTGACAGCCAGACCGCATACTTTATCCAACTTTAGTTCTCCCTTACTACCAATGAGAAGAGAAACTACAAAGAAAGTGTCTCACTTGAATCTTGAAGGGGAAGGCTTGATCAACAAGAACCACAACGCTACTTTATACACGGTGGATTCAAGACTCGAGGATGACGAGAACGAAAGGTCCAACATTGTAATTTATGGAGGAAATAATCATATTTATCACATCAAGCATGTGGATTCGGGGTCTGGTTAGCATTTAGGTACTCTTTTTTACATATTCATATTCACATATTAACGTAAACATTACCTATTACTTGTAACCCTTTCCCCTGCCAGATATAACATATCGCAGGTGTAATTCAACACTGCCCTTTCCTAATGGTAGACTCAGCCACGAGCATCCGAGCATACCTATTTTGGCATGAACAAGTAAACTTTCACAGCCAAAAAGTGCGACTCAGTGAAATCGCTAAATCTCCACACACCCAACACATTTATTAATAAACTGTTCATTCCTCCTAAACTAGCATAATCGTGGACTCAATATGGAAACACTCGAGGTTCACTCCAAGGACTTCTTGATAAAATGGGTCAATGTGCCTGAAAACTCTCTTGTCGACTGGCAAATTAAACCTTTGAAACGGTCAATTAACTTTTCAATCTACAGAAAGAGAGACGTTAACGAATCAGAAACCTCGTTCCTAGGAGATGAGAAGTACAGGGAACTCAACAACTCGTCTTCTACCGTCAATTCCACTACATCGACTCCCAACTCTAGAATCAGATCTAGCTCGGTTACGTCTGTAAACAAAATAACAGAGCCTTTCTACAAAACAAAGTCAAGAAGCTCCACCTTGTCCTCCAATATCAGCAATGGCGATTTGGTGTTAGTGAAAAACTACAACAAACTCATCTCTGATGAATTGGTGAGAGGAAAGTTGAACGTATCGAGGCCGGGAATTTATGCTTTTATTTTTGACAACACCTTCTCAAAGTCCACGGGTAAGAAAATATTGTTCAGTACAAAGCTCTTAGCCAACTCATCAGTTTCTGCTTTTTCTAATGAAAGTGATAAAAGCAAGATCAATCGAATGGATTATACGTCTCCAATAACTCCACCAAGTCATGTTAGTGATGAAGAATTGAGTAGTGAAATGATTGATACTTCAAAAAGTAGTATCTTGAGACCTAAAAATGGCGAATTATTACAAGGTGTATTATTGAAGAAAAGAAGAAAGAAGTTGCAAGGGTTTGTCAAGCGGTACTTTATTTTAAACATTAAGTATAGTACTTTGTCGTACTTTAGAGTTAATGATAATAAGTTAAGGGGCCAGATGCCTATTAACCAAAGCATCATCAGTGCTAATAGCAAAAAGTTGGAAATCATCATTGACTCGGGTATGGAAGTGTGGGACTTGAAAGCTACAAATAAGCGTGATTTCGACTCTTGGGTAAATGCTTTCAACAAGTTGAAAAAGCACTATTATAAGGAAGGCGAAAAAAACGGTGCCACGTACCACCAGGAAATAATATATGAAGGTGATCCTAAACAAAATGCTAACTATGGTTCGGTGCTTCCTACCTTCTTATTTGAAGACTTGACTTCCATCAACTCCAAGTTGTTAAATGTCATCAACTCCAATACTCAAAATACTACCTTAAACACCAATTTAAACTCTATTTCTGATGAAATCACATCGTTGATTCAGAAATTGGGTACCAACAGAGGGTCTATGAACTTTGATTCGATGTCACTCTTCTCTTCCAATGAGTTTTATGATGCTAAAGAGTATATTGATGCTCTGAATGAAGGAGTGGTTCAGTTTGACGATGACGACTACTATGATGATTTGGATGATGACTACTTTATGGAGGCTGATGTGTATGACGAGGATGATAGCTCAATTTCGAGTTCTGGAACCTCTTTCACTAAACTCAACGGGAACAATTTGTCTATCATCAAGGAAACAGACTCTACGAACAACGTGGTTGAAGCCAACGATAATGACAAAGACAACAATTTGTATCCTCTTCCACTCGAAAGTGTGAAGCGTTCCCTAGTTATACCTGAGTGGAACCATCCTCCTTCCAGTTTGTTGTCGTTCCTCCGGAAAAATGTTGGTAAAGACTTATCTTCTATTGCAATGCCTGTTGACATGAACGAACCCGTAACAATGTTACAGAAGTACGCAGAATTGATCGAATACTGTGACTTGATCAATAATGCTTTGCAGGTCGTTGATAATCAGGATACGGGAGAGAAAATCTTAAGAATAGCAGCGTTTGCCGTGAGTTCTATATCGTCGGTCAGAGATAAGGAAAGAAATGTAAGAAAACCGTTCAATCCATTATTAGGTGAAACTTTTGAATTGGTTAGAGAAGATAAGGGAATACGGTTGGTGAGTGAAAAAGTCTGTCATAGACCTCCAGTCTTCGCTGCATTTGTTGAATCCAAGGACTGGACATTGAGCTGGAGTTTATCACCATCACAAAAGTTTTGGGGTAAGACCGCTGAAATCATCAATAAGGGTATAATAAAGTTAACCATTAGGTCAACTGGTGAAGTATTCCAATGGAGTCAGCCTAATTCTATGTTGAAAAACATTATAGCTGGTGAGAAGTACTCAGAACCAAGCAGCACGATTACGATTAAGTCATCCACAGGAACCAAAGCAGTGGTGGAGTTTACTAAAGGGGGGATGTTTAGTGGAAGGTCAGAAGATTTGAGTATTGAAGCCTTCGGTGCAAACAAGAAGAAGATGCCCTATTCAGTATTTGGTAAATGGACTGAGTCTCTTACGTTAAAGACGAACACCACTGAGAAGCTTATATGGACATCTGGAAAATTGGTTCCAAACCCCAAGAAAAGGTTCGGTTTCACCGAATTTGCAAATGACTTGGTGCAAATAACAGATATTGAAAGGGATAAGATGGCTCCTACTGACTCAAGGCTAAGACCTGATGTCGCTGCATACTTGAATGTCGATATTGATGAAGCTGAAAAACTTAAATGTGAGTTGGAAGAAAACCAGAGAACAAGGAGAAAAGAAATGGAACAGTCCGGTAAAACATACAGACCGGTGTTTTTCCATCATATAGGTGATACCAAAGCTGCTGATTCTGGAGAATGGGTTTACAACAGAGGTGAGAATTCCTACTGGAATAGAAGGAGTAGACAAGAATGGGATGGCTTACTTAATTTATGGTAGAGTCATTTATTCATTAGTTAATGTAGTTTAGATATGTGATAGCTACAACTTCAAATTGAGCCTTTCGTCTGAATCTGACAAGTCATCATCAAAAATTGGATTGCTGTTCAAGCCATTAAATGAAGGTCTATGGTTCTTGAATAGAATGAACTGAATTTGCTTTCTCAAGCTGTTAATGAGCATCCTTTGTAGGTTTAGGTCGTCTTTCATTATAAAACTGTCATTGACTAAGTTGTTTATAACTGGTTCCCTTTCATTTGTTTGTTTGCTAACGAAGGGCAATAGCTTTTCATCCATCTGGTACTTCAATCGTTCGATTTCGTAGCTCAAGTATACCAATTTATCTTGGTCTCCGCTGTCGAGGTTCTTGAACCTGTTTATTTCTTCTAGTGGTTCGTTATATCCCAAGTTGGTAATCTTTCCTTGAATCACCAGATTTAAAATTTGATTAATTTGCCTTTGGAGGTGGGCATTTTCTGTTGTAAGACTACCAATCTTTTCATCCATTGTCTTATAGAATGGAAGAAACTGATTAAGAGTACAATTATTCTCCATATGGTTCTCCAAAGACGGTAGGCTATTTCCAATGAACTGACATCCTATCTCTTTTGCCGGACATATGAATTTGGAGGCTTTCGTACAACTGTCTTGATGTTTGGCCAAACTCTTCATTGGGATCATATCATTGGCACAAATACCACATGTTTGGTAGTTGAAGAGACAATCATTCTGGAGGTGCTCTTCTTCTGTGACCTTCGTGATTTCATCTTTACACAAGGAACATTTGTAGATTTTGTGCACGCATTCAGGCTCGTGGGTTTCTGCACTGTCTTTTTCTGCTTTGTCTGCATCATCATGTTCTACTTTTTGTTTTTCTTCCTCTTTTACTTGTACCTTCAAGTACCTTCGTTCTACTAACACGTCACACAAACTGTCATCATCCCGTATCCGGTTACATCTCACTCCCGTATAGTCACAGTCCGCTAAGATATGATGTTCCACTTCCCATCTGCAACCAACCCAGTCACATCCTCTACCAGAGTTGAGGCAGTAGACCTTCAAATCATCCACCAAATTGTTGATTAGAATTGGTGTTGGGAATAAATCTCCCGAGTTGGTGGCATCTATAGGTGTTCTGTCCAACGGACATACCCCTAACGTATCAGAATCTGAATCCTTAGACATCTTCAAACACTCCAAAACACACTCCCGGCAAAAAGTATGCCCACATAGCGTTGTATAGGGATTAAAGAATGGCTGCTGGCAGATAGGGCACTGTAAATGGTCTGTTTGACCTACGTACACGAGATTCCTCAAATCCGGCTTGTCATATGAATGTTCAATATTGAACGAGTTTGGTGCATTATTAATGGGAGTATCGCAGTACTCATCGGTCGATACCGGCAGTGTTATGGTAAGTTCATCTTGGGGGTGAAGAGAATCAAGCTGCTTTTCGATCTCTTCAAGTTCTTCTAGATAGTCTTTCATGTCTTGCTCGAGTGTTTCTGGCTCCAGTATTTTTACGCAATCGCGCTAATTCAGGGTAATCGCACTGATACAAAATACATCCAGCGATCAGTACTACATTTATATTCAGTAAAAAAAGTAGGGGCTATCATCTACACATTCGTGATACCTCCCTGGAAATGGTGCCATCTCTCAATAGTCCTTCCGAAAAACTGCACCAAGTTTCTCTCTCCAGCTGCCAGTCTACCTAACAAATGGCCCTTTGTATAATTCCAGTGATGGAACTGAATTTTCTCCCAGTGCTTTAATTTGTGGTCCTTATCCAACCCCAAAGACGCCAACTTGGGTGAATGAATATTTTCTGGATCCAAATCGGCCTTGGAGCTTGGGTTGCAAAAGTATATAATGGCCAATCTTTCAAATTGTTTCTGGTCTGCTGGTGGTTCAACCACTCTGTGCAAACAAGCCTTGAAAAGACCTCCACTGATGAACTCCATTGCATCTCCAATGTTCACAATCAACGAATCGGGTCTGTGTTGCACGTATCTCCAGTCTCCGGTAAAATAGTCTTTGATTTGCAAAGAGAGCATTGGCTGCGAAGTGATAAAAGAGAACGCGCTAATGTCACTATGTCCTCTCAACCAGGTATTTTCAGTGACAGAGCTTTCTTCCTCTTTGCTATAAGGCTGATACAACATGAACCTTCCATGGCTGCCCGAATCATCTTGGTTGGTTCCAGAATTTTGAAAGTAGTTTTTCAAAATGGTTCCTTCTGGAACTTGCAAAATGATATCACAAAGGGTCAATAACTTGGGTAACACTTCTCTGTGTATGGTGTTGTAGTAGTGAGCAATCTCCTTCAAGTGGTATGCCACAAGCTCGGGATGTTCGTTGTATTGATCCAAAAACGAATCAAAGCAAGAGTCCCTGAAGTTATAGTGAACGATTGAATCCCTCACATTGTTCTTAATGGCCCAATATCCTTTTGGCTTGAATCCCTGACCTCTCTCTCCCCCAATGGTTTTGGTAGTTTCCAATTCTTTCTTGGAAGCACTGGCCAAATACTTTTCTTTGACTTCATCTGGTAAAGTAGTCACGCTATAGGCAATTGCTCTTATGTATTCAGTCTCCTTGGGAGAAATACCATAGTTCACCAAATTGAAGAAACCATATGTGGTGATTGATTCCTCCAAAGTTTTGGCCAATTGCTTTCTTTGATCCAAATATTCGTCTCCTTCTTTGAATAGAGAAATATCAACTGCTTGCAACTTCAACGTGTCGACATTGGAATTAGAAGGTGGAGCGTCTACAAATGGCCGAACGTTATACTTAATGTCTATATCTTCAACGGATGGCATTATCAAGTTATGTTGTAAACCATTTCGTAAAATTGGAACACTTTATATTGATGAAAATAGGAGTCTCCACACTTATTAGCGAAAGGAGCCACACTTTATCGGGGAATGTACTCCGGTTACTCCGGAAAAGGCGGATTTATTTCTCTACTTTAGTACCAAAGAAGCATCATGCAACCCGAAACGTTTGAGCACTGAGCCACACTAGCTAGGAAATCCAATTCCTATGTCCATCTTTCTCTTCTCATTGGTGGACTCTAAGGATTTGGCAATTTGTGCGACTGGTTTCGCAGCCATTCTCCACAATTTTTCGAAGTTGGAGCTGTGGCTTTCCAAAACTCAACGGCAAGATAACGGTTTTTTTTTCAATGAAAAGATCTATAAATACTACAGGTTTAGTATCCGATGATATGTAATTAATTAATTTTCTGGACATGACACTCCCTTGGTTCATTCCTCAGCTTAGAAACGTTGAGTTTGAAGACGACGACGATAACTCGGTTATCAATGTGATCGAGAAGCTGAAGATTGGAATCGATATCTCGGATACTAAGTCCGACATTCTGGAAGAGTCGACTATTGCTATTAAGGAGTACAGAGATGAAGCCAACAGACCTTGGTGGAAGTTTTTCGACGAATTTGAATATAGATATACCACAACTGAGTCTAAAAAACACGACTGGTGGAGATGGTTCGAGAAAGGTACCAGCAAAGAAGAGAAGAAATTGATATTGAAGTTAGATGCTCTGTTAGCTTTGTACGCTTTTATTGGATATTGGATCAAATATGTTGACCTGGCCAATTTGAATAATGCCTATGTTTCCGGATTGCAAGAAGGTATTGGAATGAAGGGCAATGACTTGATCAATACTCAGGTTCTTTTTACTGTAGGTCAAATCATCTTTGAATTGCCATGGATATTTTTGCTACCAAGAGTTTCGTTGCCGTATGCTTTGTTTGTTTGTGAACTTGTTTGGGCTACTTTCACGCTTGTCACATACAGAGCTGAAAATCCCGCTACTTTGAAAGCGTTCAGGTTTATTATTGGGGCAGCAGAAGCGTGTTACTTCCCCATCATTCACTATTCTCTTGCTAGTTTCTACACTGCAACAGAAATAGGAAGAAGGGGTGCTTTGTTCTACTGTGGTCAGTTTTTAGGTGTTTTGACTTCTGGTTTACTCCAAGCTGCTGCCTCAAAAATTCCAAACCCAGGAGATTCATTGTCAGGCTGGCAATGGATGTTCATAATAGATGGTATTATTTCCTTTGCTGTTGCTTTTCTTGCCTTGATAATGCATCCTGGTACACCCCTCCGATGCTATTCTATATGGTTAACTGATGATGAGATCAAGCTTGCGAGGTCCAGAATGAAGAAAAATGGTTCAGATGTTAGTCCAACCGTCAAATCATTCTTTGATAAAGGAACATGGAAAGCCATTCTTAGCTCCTGGCACTTTTGGTTGTTATCCATTTGTAACATGTTTGGATTCAATACCAATAGTGCATCTTCTGGATCTTTTTCGTTGTGGTTGAAATCTTTGGATAGATTCTCCGTGGCAAGATTAAACAACTTGACTACTATCCCCCCAGGTTTGGGATTAATTTGGATTCTTATTGTATGTGTGGGAGCTGATTTAACCCGGAAAAGATTTGGGTTCATTATTCTATCCTTCATAATGAACTTCATTGCCAACTTCATATTGGCCCTTTGGCATGTCCCCGAAACAGCTAAATGGGCAGGATATTTATTGGCTTACTGGTCTTGGTCGCAAAGTTCTGTGTTTAATCCGTTGATAAGTGATATTTTAAGGCACGATAACAACCAAAGAGCCATCGAGTGGATGGCTATTTACATCATTGGGTTACAGTCCAGTGCTTGGATCAATAGGTTGACATTCCCAACTGTTGAGTCACCCAGATTCAAAAAAGGGTTTTCTTCCTGTGCTGCTTTTAGTTTATGTTTCGTCATCACCGTGTCTATCATCTATGTTTTCTACAAACGAGATGAAAAGAAAAATGCCTTGAAAAATGGAATCTACATCTACGACAGCAGCAAGGGAGAACTGCCACCTACCTTAGAGGAAAAGTTGGAACGTGATCTGTTGTGAATAATATTGATAATGGAGTTTAGAATGACCTGCAGCGCCTTTTCTTTGAAGGCATAATTCAAATGTATCTTTTTTCCATAATTCCAATCTCTTTAAACTAAACTCAAACTTGGTAGCTCTTACTACTGGCTAGAAACTCGCTGGGGTTATATTTAGAAGCTAAAAGTGACATTTTGTTCCTCTTCTGGTTGGAAAGCTCCACTTGGGATAGGAAAAATGAGGGCTTAAGAACTTTTTCTACCTTTACGCTCGTCATCGCATGAATTTCCAATGTGTGTGCTTTAGCATGTATATCAACCCAACAAGACCAACTTGAGCATGCCCATCAGCGGTTCTTGATTTCCATCTCTCTTTACAAGCCAGAAAATGTTCCCTGTTTTTTCCAGAAAAACCACCAACTATTCAAGAGCTCACCACTAGATTATTTGCATGTCGAAGAGGCAGCGGAGTCGACATTCAAAAAAGTAAAATGAAAAACCTCGTAAACGTGGCTTTTTGCGATGGTTTCAAAAATGGAAAAATACAATAGTGGCCACATAAGCTTTGTATTTTCACAAAGTTTAGTGCTCTAGCAGATCTATAAAAAGAAAAAACATAAAGCACGGGATGCATATACGCAAGTTAGCCGTGCACTGGTTATGGTGCACCTGGGCCTCAAGTCAGAGATTATCAGAGTCCATGGCACCTCAAAACCTCACCTTGTTCAACTTTAGAGGTGCTGTGAAACAGCTTGGGAGGACACTCCCACGAGGCTTTATATTGGTTCCCTTCTCCAGTAACCGGAACACACACAGGACCAATAGTTTATTGAGCGAGCGGGCTGGTGCAAGCTTAATATGACACAAACAGCGATGATCGAATTTTAATTGGCTTCCTGCATTTGCGGAGAAGATAGCCGAATTATAATGTGGCTGAAATTTTCTCATTTCACTCTCATCTAAAAGGGGATGAAGAATATTAACCATATTTTTCGCTCGCTCTTAATAGCCGATATACATACAATCTTTTTTAAAGCCAGTAGATGTTGTTCTTAGACTATTATGGGTGTTTTCTCATAGTCTCCTCCCCTTGAGTACTTGAAACCTGTAGCACTGCGGAATGTGTATCGGCTCAACTATTTTGCTACCAAAGGGCCCACTAACCTGCCGATTAAATCTCAGGAGTGAATTTACTTTGGGCCGGAAACGGCTTAATCTTTTTTATATTTTTTTTTTTATCTTTCGAGGAGCATCTTTAAAATACTGACTGCTCGCATTCAAATTCATGAAATACTTACCAATCCCTTGAAATGAGACCTAGTGGGTTAGTCTTGTGGCTCCATATGTGGTTCCATATGTGGAACATAGCGGTGGCAGCGGTGATCTCGTCCGATACCATTACTTATGGGCCGGCCGATTTCTCAGCGAAGACTACACCATCAACACTGGCATAAGCTGGTCTATTGTCGATAACAGTATAAATGACTTCACTGGAACGTTCATGAATTTGGGCCATTTCTATGTCACCACTGATAATCCAGCATTGGGTATACTGGTGAATATCGTCAATTCTGTTTTAGTTCAGTCCACGGGTTATATATCCCTTAATTCCTATGCAACTTCCATTGCACCCATTTATTATTGGGAGGCTCCAACGTTTTTAAACACTGGCTATTCGTGGTTTCTTGCCGATGGCTCGACTGGGGCCCCGGTTATGTCGATTATTGCATCCTCATCCTGGCAAAACACTGGTCTTATGCATTTCTATATGAACACTAGAAATGCTCTTTCGGAGGTTCTTTTGGGGGCTCCGGTCGAGCTTTCCACAGGGACAATGATTAACTTGGGCACCATTTGTTTGGCAAACACGCTTTATCACCAAACTACTGATATTAGTCAGAATGGGTGTATTGATATCAGGGACAATGCCAACGTGTATTTGAGTGGACAACTGGTGGATTCCACTCAGACTTTTTACTTGGAGAAAACCACCGCCAGTCTTCATATAGAAGCTAGCGACGGTTTGGTTATTTTAGTGGCCGGTTTCGGAGGTGGCAATATCATTGGGTTCTCTACGATTATCACGTCGTTCGAATATTCTGATGATACTTTGACTGTTGAGTCAAACGGAGGTACGGTTCAGTTTACCATTGGTACGGGCTATGTTGGTTCTTTTGAAATCATCACATCCAACTTCGGGGACACTGAGTTTATTCCACCTACTGGAAATGCAGTAACGTACACTGACGATGTTCCTTCTCCTGCTCGACCAGCTCCATGTATGCTATGTTCAGAGATTCCTGCGGCACCTGGTTACTACTTCTGCTGTCAGTGCATCCTCAGCTTCTTCAAGTACTGAAGTACCTTCT